TCTTCAATGATATGACATATGCATTAAGCAGAGTTGTTTCATATTCATATGAAATATATTTCAACTTGCAAGCATGAAAAGAAACGAAGATATTGAAGTAAAAGTCAGAAAGAACTACAATATAGAGTTTGATGAAATTGGATTGGCTACTTTAATACTAAACAAATATCAAAATATCAAGTAACAGATTATATACATGTTATTGAAAAATAAGATACAACATTAGTAGTATATTTATATAAATTCTCGATGGAAATCAACGTCAACGATTCATATTTGGTTACTTCCCAACAGCTAATATAACACATAAAATACATTCTTCATTGAAAAATACTATCATCGTTTCCATACAAGGTACGTTTATATAAATAGGACTCATCAAATAACTTATGACCTTCAAATCTTATAGTCAAGTGTTCGAGACAAGACATCGTATTTCTCCATAGTAGATGTAAAAATTCTGTCAAGTATTTAAGAGACAACGTTGAATAGACAATGTGGAAAAAAAATAAAGTCATCACTAGCGATAAGAGTTAAAACGTGCAATGATTCTCCAGTTAATTCTTGTCATTTAGTAACTCATATAAAAGCAAAACTCAACAGAGATAAATAATAGCATTGCTGTAGGTATTACATTTAACTATTCTGGAAATTTTCTCAAAAAACAGTATAGATAATTGAGAAATATTATATTCGGAAAAAAGTCGAACACTAGATAATGAAGATATTTTTGAAACGGAGTCATTGCGATCTTGTTAAATCCAAACTAGATAACTAAACTCAAAATTTTGTTGTTTTCGATGGCAAAATGCTAAATTAAAAAAGAAAAAACTTTCTATGTTATCATTATTTATCCATATCATGAATTTCATTCAAAATTATAGTGTGACACAAAGCTATTAAGAAGAAGAGTCATGTAATATGAGGATATACAGATTCGATATTGACATAAGAGCGAGATAATGCTAGCTTGTTGGATTGTCAGATTATATTAGTGCCTGGAACATATGCAAGAACGATAGCTAATGATCGTTGATACATCATACGGAGTAGTACGCAAAATGTGTTAGGAGAGATGAAGTGGCCGAAGAAAAGATAAATATGGCCATTGTTGAGTCATCTACCAATGTCAAGACAAACTTGGGCAACAATTTGTAGAGCATAGAATCCATTTAGAGCTTTCAAACGAATAGAATTACTCAAATAATGTGTACGAAATTCATTGTAATCATGTAAAAGTTGATATTCTCATTCTCAGTGAATAACCCATGTTCAGATAATTGTAGACATCGACCAGTGAAAAACCAATATAAAACAAACAATAAATATGTATATTGCATGTGTATTTATTCATTATAAATGCATCTAGCTTTTTGTTGTTGTTTGCTTCAATTGTTCATTTTGCTATTATGTGATATTTTTCATTAGTTATTTATTAATGTTCGGATACGATACATTAAGAGAACGTTTCTCTTTGTTTAAAATAATATTTCGTTTAAGTTTATTATAAATTTGCTTTATAATAGATCAAATTTGAAAGAAATCACGATTATTAACGTACTTGCAAAAAAAAGAGAGATATTTAACGGTGTTATACAAAGTCCTACCGCAAAGTATTTTATAATAAAAAATTGATATATACAATATTTTTAATCATTTATCAGACGATTGAGATTCTTAGAAAAATAATCATCGAAAATTTCATATAGTTAAAATAATATAATACTAGATTATTATTTTATCCATTGTTCAATTGACATCAATGATAAAATATTAATCTAAGTTTACTTTGTAGTTTTTTCATTTACCAAAACTTCAATATCGGCAAGTAGTGACATCTAATATAAATTATACTGCACAAGTATCTTGTGAGAACTGCCATGACCTCTGTTTCTTCAACCTCTCATTTTACTGCTAACTTTTGTCTATTTTGTTAGCAGCTGTACCTATATACCGGTCTCTCGTCCGTCCGTCGTTGCTGTTTCTCTCACTCATATATGATCGTACTATTGTATATAAATAAACTATGTTGTTTACTTTACTTTGATTTTCAGATCTCATCCCATCACTGTCTCTTAAACAAACTAAAACTATGGTGCAAACAAGTCCCACCCCGTTTGATGTAAGATTTTCTCTCTTTGTTTTCCATATATATATTGTTTACATGATAATTGATTTAGGTGGGCCGTGCATTCGTCCATCAGTATTATACACTATTACATCAAGCACCTCATATGCTTCATCGGTAATCTTTATTAATAGATTCTTTTTTTTTTGTTTTAAACTTATTCATCCTTTATATATATATATATATAGATTTTATTCTACGGATAGTACATTCATTCATGGTGGTGTTGATCGACCAGGCTGTGTTGAACAGCCCGCTGTTGGACCGGAAAATATTTCTCAACGAATTAATGATCTTAATTTACGTGATTGTCATGCAAAAATTCGTCAGGTCGATTCACATCCAACTATTGGTGATGGAGTTGTCGTTCAGGTTACCGGTGAACTATCGAATAATGGTGATCCAATGCGTCGTTTTATGCAAACATTCGTATTGGCACCTCGACAACCGAAAAAATACTACGTACAAAATGATATTTTTCGTTATCAAGATGAAGTTTTTGATGATGGATCAGATGAAGTAGATGAGGATGATCGATCAAGTTCACAGATTTATGGTGATACTATTTCGAATGCAGTAAATAATAAACTAGAAAAAGAGAATATAATTTTTTGTTTAAAATTAAATATATGAATTTTTTAGGACAAGGTTTCAAATGCTGATTCATCAGCAGCCGTAGTAGCAACTTCACAACAGCCATTGCTTGTGACAGCTACTGTACGACCACCAATGGAAGAACAACAACCATTACCACCACGTGGTAATGCATCGACACTTGCAGGTAATCAACCACAAATTATTCCTATTCCAACTGTTCGCCAACAGGAACATCAACATACAGGCTCAACTAATTTGTAAGTTTTAATATTGAATTAAATTCAAAAAAGAAAAAAAGAATATGTTCGATTTTAGGAATGGTTTTTCAAATGCTAATGTTGGTGAACCTACTAATTATAGTGAACTCGGTCATACACATCTTCAACAACCAGAAACAGTTCAATCACATCCACAATCTAGTCCAAGGCCACTAAATCATCAAGTGTCACAAGAAAATCAACAACAAACAAATGGTGGCAATGTGCCAAATCAACAACCGGTTAAACAAACTACAACAACACAACAACCAACATCAACAACAGAAGGACAAAGACCAGAAGGAAGTAAGTGAACATAGAAAAATTTAAAAAAAAAAGAAGAATTGATAATGATTTAAAGAAAATATTTTTGTCATTTATTGTTAATTAGCATCTTATGCTGGTATTGCTAAATTACATTCATCTACGGGTTCAACATCAAATGTTATAACAAGTTCAACAACTGCTCCACGTAGTGGTTTAGTTCCAAATGCGGTACCAACAGCAAATTCTCAACAATCAAATGCTGTTCGACCATCAGTAAAGGTACCATCAACAATAACAACAACAACAACTAATCGACCAAGTAGCAATTCTCAGTCAGGTCAACAACAACTACAACAACAACGTGGTAGTGGCAATTATTATCAACAATCTAATCGTGGTAATTATTGGAATAATAATAACATTCAAAAAGATCATAACCCTGCTCATCGTTCAGGTACGAATGTCGCAACAGCACCAAATGAACAACAAGTTTTTGTTGGTTCACTACCATTGAATTTCACGAAAGAAACATTAATTGAATGTTTTTCGAAATATGGTAAAGTTCTCGATGCGAAAATTCATACACCTACTCATGACAATAAAAAAGTTTGTTTTTATTGATAATTAATCTTTTAAAAAAGAAACAATTTTTCTTTTTCTATTTATCTTAAATAGAATTTTGGTTTTGTTGTTTTTGACAACCCAGAAGTTGCAACATCTATTGTTAAACAGGAACACATCATGTATGATGACACAATACGTTTGAATGTTGAACCAAAAACTCAACGAAATTATCCACCAAATACTAATGTCGGTGGTAATTTTAATAATGGACCACAAGGTGGTGGTCGTAATAGTAATTACCAAGCAAGAAATAGTGGTCGTGGTGGAAATCGAGCACCGTATCGTGGTGGTGGCGGTAGTAATCAAAGACGTGGTGGTGGTGGTGGTCAATTTAATAACAATTCACCATCATTTAGTGCAGGAGATGAAAATAACAACGAATATCGATCTAGCAAACCTCAACAACCAGTAGAACAGCAGTAATTACCTGATGAAGACCGATGGATGATCTTTTTCTTTTTTGTCTTTTGTTTCTTTCATGTTTTTTTTTTTCTGTCTCTCGCACGCGATTTACTTATACTCAAAGTTTTCCTACACACCATGGTATGAACAGTTGCGATGACGGACGATCCTCTTTTTCTTTTTCTTTTTTTTTCTTTATCTTTTTTTTCTTTATCTCTTTTTTTTCCTTATTGTTACCGTTCTCTTGTTTTATACGAATTTCATATTTTGTTGGTTATCCGACACAGAGTTGATGAAATGGGCGTGAGAACATCACATATTTACAAAAACACAATGACTGTCTTTCAACATCATTAACTGCTTTTCATTAATCGTAACTACTCCTTTCATTTCTGCCTGCTTATTTGTTTGTTTGTTCTTTGTTAAAAATGCTGCCTTTTTCTCGTGATTGCCGTCATTTTTTTTTTCTCGGGTATTTTTTTTTCTTTTTTGTACACATCAAAGATACATGTTAGGTGATATGAAAAAGCAGATGGATGAGAACGACGGACAGTTAAGTGTGAATAAAATTATGAACGTAAGGAGGCGTATATGATGCTCATTTATTTGTTTATATGTCGAATGCAAAAATCAATTAAAAAACTCTTCTAGAAAAGAAAGAAAAAGCAATGAAAATAGTTATTCTCTTTTTTTTTGTTCGTTCCGAACGATAAGATAATTTTATATTATTTGCTTGATGATTTAGAAGCTAATTCACGTTCGATTTCAAGTACTGGTTCCAGAGCTTTAACAATTTTTTCTTGTAGTTCAGGTGGTGTTGGTAATAATGGTGCACGTGCAAGACCACCATAACCTAATATTTGTTGCATAGCTGATTTAAGACCAGATATTCCATTCCAACGAAAGAATGCATGATCAGATGCAACAATTTTACCTTGAAGACGTTGTATTTCTTTCCATTGATCAGTAGAATGTTTTGTATATAAATTAAATAATTGACAAAGTATATATGGTGCAATATTACCAAAACCTGGTATACATCCTTGAGCACCAACACTTAAAAATGGAACAAAACTATCAGCTGAACCACTCATTACAGTAAATTTTTTTGGATCAGTATGTTCACAGATATAAGCAGCTTTACCAACATTACCATCTGTACATTTAATACCAACAATATTTGGATGTGCAGCTAATTTAACAATTGTTTCTTGTGTTGTATCCATTTGTTGTGTAACACCAGGAAAATTATAAATAACTATTGGTATTGGTGATTTATCAGCTACTTTAGTAAAAAATGAATAAATAACATCGGATCTATTTGATGTCCATGCAAGATAATATGATGGTGGTAAAACCATAGCATATTCAGCACCAGATTTTGCTGCTTGTTCAATTAAATGTAATGTTCCACGAACAGATTCTTGTGAACAACCAGCAATTAATTTAACATTTGATGATGTATCATCAATTGTTTTTCGTGCAGTACGTAAAACAAGTTGTCGTTCTTCTTCATTTAAATGAACAGCTTCACCTGTGGAACCCATACAAATAATACCATGAACACCAGCTGAACATAAATATTTAACATGTCGAGTTAATGCATCAACATCAACTGGTTGTTCATCAGATGATTCAGCTTGAAAAAATGTTGGTATTGGAATATATATACCAGGAGGTAATGCAGTGACCATGTTTTATTTTACTTTTTTTCTGATTTGTTACAATGACTATCTGTATAAATGAATAAAGAAAATGCTTTTTTGTGTTTCTTTTTTGCTTTGTTCTTATTTTATCTTATCTAGTCTTATTGTCTTTAATGTGTGCACCGCTATTCACCTTTTGGTTTATATATATACATATATGTATCTATGTTTGTTTTCTTCCTATCTATATTCATTTTTATTTAGGGTCATCATCATCATTTTCATTGCATTGCGCTTCTCTTTTTTCTTGTCAATTATTGGAACAATTTGCAATTTGAAGAGCTTCGTTCTCTATTAGATATATGTAGGACAAAATTCAATTATGACTATTCATTGATTAAATACAAGCTAGCGTCTCTGATGATAGTGTGAGCAAAATCAGAAATGGATGCATGGGAAGAAGATCGTTTAGGGAATAAGAATGCGCACATACATATAGAATATATATAAGTATACATTTATATGATGATAAAATAACTATGAAAGAAAAAAAAGAGAGCAACAGAGAATTACATGAAAATTACATCGACAACTCATTTTATCCATCATTACATATAAGCATAGTAAAGAAGTGTCTTAGAGCGATAAATCGAATATTTTTCTTTTTTTTTATGGCAAACGATTCTACACCTCCAACTCTTTGGAATTTTCCTTTACCACTTGTTGTTGCTCCAACTTCAAATACTATTGAACAACAACAATCATCTATTGTTAGTGGAGTTGGTGAACGAAAACAACGAACATTACGTTTATCAATAAATGCGCGTGAACGTCGACGGATGCATGATTTAAATGATGCACTTGATGAATTACGTTCCGTGGTTTGTATTATTTGATTTTAATCAATGATTTGTTGTTTTCTTTTTTTGTTAATATTTTTCTTTAGATTCCCTATGCACATTCACCATCCGTACGTAAATTAAGTAAAATTTCAACATTGTATTTGGGTAAATTAATTAGAAAAAATTAAAAATAAAAACAAAATGATTTATTTCTAGCTAAGAATTTTATTCTTCTACAAGCACAAGCTATTGATGAATTAAAAAAATGTGTTCTTCGTGCAAGTATTATGAGTAGTCAACCAGGAGCTATTCTATCACAAACAACAGCGATGGATTTTCCTAATACAGATCAAATAAATGATAGATGAAAATAAAATAAAAAAAGTCAGACTCATGTTAACTTTTTTTTGTCTCGAACTAATTAATTAAATTCATATTTTGTCTTACATATAAATCACTGGATAGACTTTACGAAAATTTAATAGTTGGAAAAAAAAGTTTTTTAGTCGTTATAAGATCTATTTGTTTGACAAAATATTAATTTAATTAAATAATATTATATTTAAATATTGTCTTCCTTATAAAATTGAATCTCATATTAATTGAAGAAATAAAATCTCAATTAAATAAAGTAGTACTCAACTGATATTTTACCAAATAATGCAAACAAATAATATAAAATATGTGTCATAGAATTTTGTTCTTTCTGTATCGATGGCACTCATTGATTATGATACTTGTTTAAATCTTAAGATTTTTTTTTTTGTTGATTTAAAAACTATGTGAAACTTTAGTGGCAAAATTTATCTACCTAGCTGTCGAGTTTGTTGATTCATATTACAAATGATATCTGTGTATACTGTTAAGATCTCGTTTTGTTTTTCAATAAAAGAATATGTTAAACAAAATGAAAATAAAATAAATTCTGTATGTCACTGTTTTGAGTATAACCGTATATGGCATACATCCAAGCCAATATTTTCTTGTTTTACATTCGAATGAAATTATTTGTTTATTATATTATTTTCTGGTATTTAAAGCTGGAATTAATATTTGATGATAACTATTTGAATTCTTATGAATATCAAAAAAAGAATCGTTTTTTTAAATCTTGTTTTGTCTTCATGCACTTAAAGATTTATATAATTAAAAACAAATATTATTTCTTTTTTTGGGTATATTTAAACATAGAATATTCCCTTGTGAATCCAAAATCATGATTAAATTTCTTTTCCATGTAGAAGAAAATAGTCACGAAATACTAGTCTACATTCACAAGTCTAAAACTGATACACAATATATGTTCAGTTTCTCAATAATGTTGTTTTGTTATAATACATTGTTGCAGCTAACATCATAATGTTACATTTTGTCATTATCGAATAAAGCATAACATAACATTCGTTTGTTGAGAAGTATTTGACTGATTTATGACTTCCTTTTTATTTGTGTCAAGTGTTTCAATTGATTCTATGATGTGTTAATTTGCTAATCGAGTTATCAAAATAGACAAATACAAAAAAATGTCAATTTTCTACAAAATATAATCTTATCCGTCGTAACGAGTTAACAAGAATCTTTCTTTATATTATGCATTAGAAAGATAAACATTTTAATCGAATATATTTTGCTAAAACGACCGATCTCAAATTATTTAAATCAACTTTTCAGATATACAAACGTATTAATTAGTTACTTTTTTCAATCAATATTTATCATAGTAGTATATCATCATTTAGTACTTTTACGTATCAAATACATCCATACACGTAGAGTAATAAATAAGTGAAATATTGTAGGATTGAACTCTTATTAAAACAATAATGAAAGACATTAGATAAAGAGAAAGAAGTATTAAAAAAAAGGAGTGATACTTTTTTTCTTCACTGAAAGAAGATACATAGGTAATTGAATAGATAACAAGACGAATGGTGAAGACATTTTCAATTTAACTTAAACTAATTATTACCATATGTCGTTTATACAATAAAAAAAATGCATATATATATATCTATATTCGGAAAATTGTTGTGAATCCAGATGTAACTCAAAGACTAAACAATACAAAGGAGACAAATGTTCTACTTCGCTTATATCAAAAAATAGATGACTGATTAAATTAGTAGTTCGACTATAGGTTAAGACATCTTAACTTGAATAATTTTCATTGACTATCACATGCAATGTTTGCTAATGTCTCATCATTGTCTATCAAAGAAAAGAGCATATAAACATTGAAGAAATATTAACATAATCCATCGACACAAGCGTAGAAATAGTAATAGATTGACAGGAGAAATGAAAAAAACAACAATGCTATTCTTATTATTCTACGAATATTAGAAAGATGATTAGTGATTAGATCCGTCAGAATCTGACAGATCAAGACTAATGATAGACAAAGTCAACAGTGTGATTTTATATTGAGATCCCAATCGGATTCATTACTATCGAAATCACTTGTCTTTAATCAATAGGCTTATATCCAAAATTAATCTCTTCTATATTGATGATTTATTATGTTTCATATTTTATTAGTACCTCTTGACTTTACTTGATAACAGAAAATTTAGACAAAACAAAGGACTACATTGTCATCAAAACAACTTGATATTTACTTTCATATTTCTTATTAGTTTTCCATCATCGTTTGTGTAATAAAATTTTATGATCCGAATTTTATGATTAACATTTTCACTTCATCTCAGGTTGTCTAGTCACGTGTTTCTGGTACCGATAATTAATTATTCATGAATATGTGTCTATCGATACACTGACTTATCAATTCATATATGTCGGTATTTAATCATCAAAATCTAAAAACATCGAATAAATAAGATAAATCTTTTACGTGTGTGTGCGCTAAATTATTTTTGTTTTTGTTCCGATAGTAAAAATTTTCTTTTGGAAATGACAATGACGACAAAAAAAAAACAGAAGACGAACGATCATGAATGAACCAAGCAAAAAAGAAAAAAAATGAAACTTAGGCACACACACACACACACACACACGAAATGTACAAGAAAATAAAAGAACAACGACAATTACAATACGCGAAAAAAAAATGTAAATCGATCTGAGAAAGAGAATAAGTTATACTTCTTTTAGTCTATCATCTGCCATATATATGAATGTATATATATATATTTCTTGTATTGTTTTCTAACATTGGCATTTGGAATCACCGCTTTGTCCACTACCATCGGAACCATTTGCACCATTTGCTGTACGTGTTGATGTTTGTGGTTTAGGTTGTACACCTGATTCAGCTGCATTTAAATCAAGTGAACCATCTTGTATATTTTGATAAATTTTTCTTGCTGTTTCAATAAATGCATCTTCAACATGATCGCCTGTCTTAGCTGATGTTTCAAGAAATAGTAAATCATTTTCGTCCGCAAATCTTTTTGCTTCGTCATAAGTTACTTCACGTTGACCATCTAAGTCACCTTTATTACCTAAAATAATAATAATAAATATGACTAATATTATTTTTATGTCATTTATTAAATATTTACCTATAAGAAAAATAACTGTATTTGGATTAGTCAAACTTCTTGCGTCAGTCAACCATCCACTCAAATGATTATAAGTGGCACGTCGAGTTATATCATAAACCATTAAAGCGCCGGCTGCTCCACGGTAGTATGATCCTTGAAAAGAAAAACAGTAAGCACTTTAAAAAATGAAATAAAATAAAAAAAACAAACAACATACGTGTTACAGCACGAAAACGCTCTTGACCAGCGGTATCCCTAAACATAGACATTTAATTTCAAACAAAAAAACAATACATTTTCATTTTATTTACCAGATTTGTAATTTAATTTTTTGTCCATTAACTTCAATTATACGTGTACCAAATTCAACACCTATTGTATGTGGACAATCAGCCATAAACTAAATACAAAAATTTTTAATTAAATTTTTTTTTTTTCTATAATTAATTTTCTTGAAAAAAAAACCTTTTTCTCTGTAAATTGATGGAGTAGACAACTTTTACCAACACCCATATCACCAATAATAATATATTTAAAAATATATGAATAATTATACGGGCCCTGATTCGCCATGGCACCGTCAATTTTCTATCTAGTATGTAAGAAAAAAACAAAAGATACAAAAATAAAAACAAAAGTATCCAAAAAAAAAGAGAAAATAAAACGATAAATGGTCCATTGAGTCCAAATATTCTATCTGTTCGTCATTGCACATACCTTGATGCCACCATCATGACGATAATCATCAGTTATATGATTACAAATATTATATTCAGTGACATCTATTTAAATTGTATATAAAAACTGATGTCGAACGAACTCCCTGGAAAGAAATTTTCGTCATTTTTTGTTTTTGTCATCTGACTAGAGATAAATGATGTAAGTGCTTAAGTATTGCGAAAGATTTCATAGTGGGATCAAATAAGTCATTAATTTATATATATTATAAAGCAAAAAAATTATCATAATATTAATACATCATTCTGAATTCATACGAAACAATACATCAAACTCATTTGATCAAACAATCCATGGATAATTTAGTATGAATAGAATTTACAAAAAAAATATAAATTATTACTGTTTTTTGTTTTTGTATTTCGTAGAATTTGAATCTTTTAACACCACTAGCACCGGAAATTATTAGTCGTCAAGCTACAATTAATATAGGTACAATTGGTCATGTAGCTCATGGAAAATCAACTGTTGTTAAAAGTTTATCTGGTATACAGACAGGAAAATTTGGTAGAGAAAAACAACAAAATATGACTATTAAATTAGGTTATGCAAATGCTAAGGTAAAATAGATTTTTAATAAAAAGAAAAATGAAATCAGATATGTAAACAAATTGATTACTTATTTATGAATTTATGTTTAAAATAGATATTTGAATGTGATAATGAACAATGTCCACGACCGGGACGATATCGTTCGACTGGTTCGAACACAGGCGATCGGTTTCCATGCGATAGACCTGGATGTGGTGGTCAATTTCGTCTTGTACGGCATATATCATTTGTTGATTGTCCTGGACATGATACTTACATGGCAGCTATGTTAAATGGTGCAGCTATTATGGATGCAGCTCTTCTAACTATCGGTAAATATGATAATTTTAAAAAAAAATTTTTTATTTATTTGAAAATTTTAGCTGCTGATGAATTCTGTCCTCAACCACAAACATCTGAACACTTAGCAGCTATTAATATAATGAATTTAAAATCTATAGCAGTACTTCAAAATAAAATTGATCTTGTTGGACAAAATAACGCAGAAAAACAACGTAAACAAATTCTTGATTTTATTCAAGGTACAAATATTATTTCTTTTTTAGTTCCTCGTTTATTAAAAAAAGTAACCTTATCTATATAATTTTTAGATACAAATGCTATAAATGCTCCGATTATTCCAATTAGTGCACAACTTAATTGTAATATTGATGCTATTTGTGATTATATAGTACGAAAAATTCCTATACCTATTAGAGATTTTACTTCTAAACCAAAAATGACTAGTAAATGAACAAAAGAAGATTATTTTAATAGAAATAATTATTTTTTATATTTCATAGTAATTCGTTCATTTGATGTCAATAAACCTGGTGCTAACGTTGATGATCTCAAAGGTGGTATTGCTGGTGGTAGTATATCTAAAGGTGTTCTTAAAGTATGTTGTTTTTTTAAAATTTTGCTATAGATTTAGAATACTAGAATTCTACTTATGAAAAATATAGATTAATCAAGAAATTGAAATTCGACCAGGTTTAATATTTACAGATAAAACAGGTCAAATTCAATGTTGTCCTATTAAATCAAAAATTATCTCTCTTTATACTGAACAAAATCAACTTACTTTTGCTGTGCCTGGTGGCCTTATTGGTAAAAGAAAAATTTGTTTATAGTAATTTATTAAGTTAGTCTTGTTTTTTTTTGTGGTAGGTGTTGGTACAAAAATTGATCCAACTTTATGTCGTGCTGATCGTCTTGTTGGTCAAGTACTTGGCGAAGTTGATACATTGCCACCAATTTATACAGAAATTACAATAAAATATTTTCTACTTCGACGTGCTTTTGGTGTACAAAGTGGCTCTTCTCATGAACCTCCTAAGGTGTGTATGAGTGTTTTTATGTTTTTCTTAGAACTTTTCTTAGAAACTTTAATTTCAATTGAGTTCAAATGAATTGTTATTATGTTTTTTTTTTAGATAAGCAAATTACGTGAAAATGAAGTGTTATTGATCAATATTGGTTCTTTATCTGTTGGTGGTCGAGTAATATCGGTTAAAAATGATTTAGCTAAAATTCAATTAACTAAACCAGTATGTGCAGAAATTAATGAAAAACTTGCATTGAGTCGTCGTATTAGTGAACATTATCGATTAATTGGTTGGGGTGAAATACGAAAAGGAAAGGAAATTCAACCAAAGATGATTATGTGAACAAATAGAGTCATTTTGTACAATTTTATTTAGCAATGTATATACTTTTTTTTTATTTAAATAAATTTATTTTTTTATGTACTGTTTTCTTATAAAGAAAAAGTTTCTTATTTTATTTAACAAAAATAATGTGAGCCATCAAATACATGATTATATTATTATACAAGAATAACTAGCAACGATGCTGTTGAAGATGATGGTATATTTATATTTTAATCAATGTTGAATTATGATTAAATTGCTATTTTGTTTACTTACGTCCATCAACATTTCACCTGCATATTCTAATAATAAACAGATTGATGACAAAATAATTAATAGAGAACAATTAGAAGTCTTTCATCTATCAAACTCAACTGTACAATTGAAACTCACAATAATTATACGTTCTATTTACTATTACCCAGATATATATGAAAAAAGTGAAGAGATATAGCAGATAAAAAGAGTGCACTTGAATAATCTATATTCAGTTGAATGAATTTCGGTGTTCATAAAATCATCGCAAGATATCGATCTTCTGGATATATTTTTAAAACATGTATTCTAATGCATACAATCTTGTCTTAAAAGTTTCAATGGTCACTGTGAAGTGTAATATTGTCAAAATTCTGTTCCATCTTATTTACTTTTATTTAAGATTAATGAAAATCTCATTATATCCAATAAATGTTTTAAATTATTCCAAAGAATATTAAATAATACTCGAATGTTAGTTTCAATTTAATATTTATGTGTTATACAATTTTATTTTGGATATTTAATGACAAATAATAAATGTCGATGCAAACATTTCATTTTAATACCATATGAGAAATCAGAAATTTCATATTGCACAGACTTTACTTACAAATCCAGTTAACAATATGAATTTCAAGCGTTGATAATAAACGGTTAAAGTTTATTTTTTCGTTCGATGCATTTCCGATAACGAATCAATTAATACAACTACTCCGTAATTTTTGCTTTTTTTATCGTTTCTTTCTTCGTCAAATATTATTTTATCCTATGATTTTCCTTTTTTCTTCGATCTCGATTGATCTTTATATTTTGTCTTTGTTTTTACTATTCATATATGAATAAACCATAGCTGTCGTACAATGAATATGGAGAGACACTTAATCTGTTCATTTCACAGATATATTCCATGATTTTCAATGGATGAAATCATTCTAACTTTTTTGTTTGTTATAGATGAAAAAAATGTAATTCTTTTGATTAAATTTCAATTAAAATATTCGTCAAATTAGGACCATTTTATAAAATATTCAAGTAGCCAAAGCATCCGTTAGTAAACTGATTATAGTGGCTAGTCGACACACTTTTAGCAAACGAAAATATACTAATAACAAAAGAAAAGCTTTTTAGATGAAAACATTTTATTTTAATGGTACAAAAAAAACTGTTTAAAAGGTTTATAATGCAATGCTATACAGTCATCTGTTAGAATAGGTTATAGATAAATTGAAAATATGTTTAAAAATTTACTACGATTATAAATTTTTTCAAATAAAAAAGATTAAAAATCTAGTATGGTGTGCTCGTAAAGATGTCGGCCAAGATTGTCTGTTTTTTTTTTACATTCTATATTCATGATAAATAAAATGTGACTGGAGAAAGTGAAACAAACGGTAAACACTACATAACGAATCATAGATATGATGACGCCCTCTATATAAAGTCGCCCTATATTCTTATATTTACGCAGTTGTTTTTCTTTCGTTTATTAGATAGATTGCATATTATTCTATTGAATAGAAACCAATGGCTGATAAATCTTATTCTGAGCCACTTGATATTCCATCTTCGACTGTTCTTATTACAGGTGGTTCAAGTGGTATTGGTCTTGGCCTTGCACGATGTTTCGTTCAAGCAGGTGCTTCAGTCATAATAACTGGTCGTCGTGAAAAACAATTAAAAGAAGCTGTAGAAGAATTAAATGGTCTTGGAAATAAAAAAGCCGTCTATCGTATTAATGATGTTGAAAAAATTGACGAAAGATTAGCTTTATATGATTGGATAACAAGTGAATATCCTCAAACAAATATTCTTATTAATAATGCAGGTATTCAACAACGTCATCCATTTATTCCACATGAAGTTTCTTCAAAAAATATTTCATGGGAAGAACGAGAAAAAGAAATTTACATCAATATATGTGCACCAATGCATTTATCTCATTTATTTATAACACATTTTCGTCAAATGAAAACAACGACAGCTATTATTAATGTTTCATCAGGTTTAGCATTTACACCATTAGCATTAATACCAATTTATTCAGCAACAAAAGCTGCTATACATTCATTTACAATGAGTCTTCGATATCAATTGATAAATGAAATACCGAATATTCAAGTTTATGAAATAGTACCACCAGCCGTCCAAACAAATCTTGGTGGTAGTCATGCATTTGGTGAACCACTTGATGATTATTGTCAAGCTACATTTGAACGTATAAAAACAGGTGAACAAGAAATTGGTTATAAACGATCAGATGAAGGCAGAAAACTGCAATCTCGTGAAGAATCGGATAAACAATTCATTGTACTTAATGATAGTTTTAAGAACGTTTTTCAAAATCTAAAACATTAACTAATAAATAAGATCATCTTTCCCTTGATTTTTTTTATTTTAAAATTGTCAAAAAAAAATATTCGTTTTGTTTTACTTTGTATTATTGTTTGAGTTGATTCGAAAGATGTAGAGTAATAGAGGAAAATGCTCATAAAAATGAAATTATTCAATCTTATCAGTATATTTATTTTCGAATGATATTTTCCTGGCGGGAAAACAATGGACTTCAATAACCAAGATTTCAAAAAAAAAATTGAGAAACCTTCGAAATCCATCTCGCGATATGTTTATGTTCGACCATATGGTGTGTTGTAGAAAGATCAACAGGAAAAATATCGAAAATCACAACTAGCAAAGTTTTCTTTTATTTTGACGTAAACAATGTGAGTGTGACGTGTATATTCTACATCTTTGAGAGAAAATATTTCACATTGTTTCGTATTTTCTTTTCGAAATGAAAGTCATTGAAACAATCGATTTGATATGTATCGCTAAGCTACTTTCTTATGGCGCGCGAATACGACATAGATTTTCGTGATATTAGATGATTGTGAATAAATGACTATGAAGAGACGAAATGAATATAATGTAGCGAAAAATGTCGAATTAATTTTAATGCATTTTTCTTGATTTAAATACGTCAGCTCGATAGATATACAGAGACAGTCAGTGCCAATAATCTCTTGATGATAAGATAACACATCCAAAGAGAAAAAGGAAAAACAATTGCAATATTACTTTTCTTCAGCAGTCCTTTGATCACATATTCTACCTTCACTTTGTCACTCATCTTACAGACACGAATTGAAGAAAAAAAAAACTAGGGCAACAATAATAAAATTGCATTAGTGTGTATTTTTGTTTCGTTGAATTTTTCGCTATTGATGTACTTTTTGTGTTGATCTTTCTTATTAGTTACAGTTGTATGTTCAGAAGAAGAAACCCAACAAAATCATGTAATCAGCGTTATGACCAATTTTTTCCTTCGCGAAAAAGAATTGCGCAATGTGCAAAGGTATCAAGTATGCACTAAAATGATGGTGCTATTTTTTTTGTTACTTTTATTTTAAGCAAAAAGGATCTGTTTCTTCAATACAAGGGGGAAAGTGCTGGCACCCAGCACCCTGGCACCTCAGCACCTGCTCAGCACCTTGGCACCTTTTCAGCACCTGCTCAGCACCTTGACACCTTTTCAGCACCTCAGCACCTGCTCAGCACCTTGGCACCTTTTCAGCACCTGCTCAGCACCTTGACACCTTTTCAGCACCTCAGCACCTTTCCAGCACCTCAACACCTACTCAGCACCTGCTCAGCACTTGTGGGTTCTGTGAAGGTTAGAAAGTTAGAACATAAATATTAATTAAGAAGTTGCTTAGAAATAGGGTAACACTATTCAGANTGAACTAAGTCATCAAATGAGAAGAACGAATATTGACTCAAGTTAGAATAGTCTTCATTGAAAAATCTCAACGACAAAAGGGGGTCTATAATTTTGATAAGCCCTGTAGTAGATATGCACCTGTTGTTTTTCAAAGTTTGATAGATAAGCTTTCGGAAAATGTTTGTTTTCCCAAATAAACACATGATTCTAGAGAAGATTTCTATTCTCTATCCAAATGTAGGGATGCTTATATCAATTCATTTTATTGTGTACAATTTATATTGTTCACCGTTTCATGATGTTTATCCTATTTTAAAAGATCATCATTTTTGAACTCTGATCATCTAAGATTGTACTTTTCGATAAAAATCTTTTTTTCCACTCTTGCGACTATTCTAACTTGAGTCAATATTCGTTCTTCTCATTTGATGACTTAGTTCAGTTTGTTTCCTTTGAAACCAATTTTTCAGATAGAAATATAATAAAAGATAAGCTTATATTTGGTAAAAGAAAACTAATTGTGAATTGATAACTCACTATTTCGATTAAAATTTCCATTTCAGTTCGATAGGATTGAATTTATTTGATAACTCTTGCTTGTAAATAAATGCTCTGGTCTAAACTATATCTTCACGTGCATCAATCGTTCTCCGGAGGGAATATATACATAAGAAGACAATCAAACTATAAAATCAATCATAAAATGAATTCAAAACCATTTATATGAGCTATGAAATAATATTGAATTTTTAAATAACAATACTTTTCAATTTTTATTTCGTGTGAGAAAATAAATCATAACATACGAATAAAAATACATGAATGTGTTACTTTCTCAGGTTAAAAGTAGATACTAATTGACAAGCAAAAAACAATGGTTCACACTTCTTGATAAAGCGAAAAAAAAAGAATTAATTTCGGGTTCAATAGATTGCAGAAACTTTTTTTACAAGTGATGCTTCTTATAAGTTCCAGTGTAGGTTTAAGATTGTTAGTAAAGAGAAGACCCGCATAGCTACATATATTTCGATAAATCAAAATGTATGGATGACGAAAATAAAATTCTATTTATCATTAGAAGATAGACGTTCATGTTATTTGCAACATACATGTTTGCGTGACACAATTATTGATGATGCCAAATGACAAGCACGTACGCGTGGATTTTGTTAATAATATCAAACGATAAGATCGTCTTCGTTTAAAACAGTTGCTAGTTTGATGGTACCATTCTCGAAGTTAATTCCCTTGTATTTATAAAATTCTTTCAAATCAATATTACATGTTTAGAAGAGAAGAATTTAGAAAAATTATTCTTTTTCTAGTAATGACAAAATTGATCAACTATTTATTAAGAAATGTGTAAATGATTTCAGGCATTATTTCATTTAACTGTAATACATATATACACAATCAATTACTGATAACATACTAAGATTTCATAAATATTTATCTATATATCTGTCAGTTCATGTTTACATAATGTTTGTATAAAATAGGCCAGTGGTTGATCCAGAATTTTTGAGTATGCAGGATCTCACCTTTGAAGCATGGTACCCAGATGAAACTTATCGAGGGCGATATTGGATCTAGATGATGCATTTTCAAAAAATTTGTGTGATTGAAGTTTACGAGAAATTCTTTTTTTCTTTTAGTAATATTGCATTTTTTAGATTTTCATTGTAATCTACATCGAATTTCGTCCACAAATTTCAAATTTCATCTAAAAATGTGCATCCATTCTGCAGTTATAAGGTTTTGAATTTTTGTAGCATGTCGCAAAAATTGTAAAAAAGAATTCAAAAAAATTATAACTGCGGAATGGATGCATATTTTTAGATGAAATTTGTGGACGAAATTCGACTTAGATTATGATTACAATCCAGAAAACGGAATACTACTAAAAGCAAAACCAAATTTGAGAGGTTGCGATAAAAAGCATCATTTGGATCCAATATCACTCTTTATAACTTTCATCTGGGTATCATGCTTCGAAGCTGAGATACAGCATACTCAAAAATCCTCGATCTACACCTAAAATGGGCTAATGATAATGATAACCTTTTCATTAAAAAAAACTTTTGTTTCATTTTTATTTTCACATTACTTATTCTAAACCAGTGAAATGTAATGATTGTTGAGTGAAAAAAAAATGTTCAGAAAAATCTTGGTACAATATCATGACCTATTGTGAATATTTGTAGTGCATTATGAAGGATTGTAACTTTTTTCATATATTTCATTGAAAAAAGACCGTTCTTGAGGACAATTTAGGACTGTATGTAGACAAATAATTAACAATCGGGAAGATTATCTTCGAAGTAAAAAATAATAAAATACGTTTAGTGCTACAAAAGCGAATGATAAACAGAAACAGATGGATAAGCTAATCAACTTTCAATCTTTCATTTATATATTTTATTTTATAATAGTTAATCGATAATACGTTCCATAGAAATAATCTGTTCTATTTAATCAACAGTTAAGATAAATTGAAAAAAGTTAACAACTGATTTCATGCAAAATTATTTTGCAAACAGTTCTAAATATTCATCGAAAATGAAATACTATTTAAAGAAATCATCAACTAATTCACTGAATTTTTTTACTAGAAAATGAGGAAGAAACGTTATGCATTGTCTTCCGTTTTATTTTTCATAAATCTATTTCAATTTAAATATGATTAATTTCAACTAAAACTCTTGTTAGAAATGTTCATGAGAAAATTAATGAATAAAATTTCAAAACAACATCTAATTGTTTGTTTAATTATTTTCAAATTTAAAACTATAATGAATAAATATCTGTAGGACATGAATAACAGAATTGAATTGTATACTCAATCTACTTGTAATGCTGCCTACCATGTTGTTTTTCTTTATATATTTGTGAGTTATGCACGTTGAATAATATAAAAATACAAATGAATCTATAATATTTTCTAATGCTAAATATTTTTTTAAAGTTTATTACGTATACTATGATGAAAATCGCTTGATCGAATAGTTCGACCCATATTGTTTCGTCAAAATAAAGTTAATCTTTGCTCGAAATCGTTTAATTCATGAAGAAATCGATTTTATAATCAAGTTGTTTTTTTTTTAAAGCAAATTCAGATCGACTGGTAATCATCACTACGTAGTTACAATTCTGACTCAATTGTATCCACATACTTTTCCATCATGAATTGTAATCCGAAAACAAAATGCAAAGAGCATTTTTCGTTATTATATATGTTTATTAAAAATTAAAAACATAACAACGAATAATTATTGTAACGCCTTTGTCAGTTCTCAAATTACAAACAATTGACTCTATGAAAAGATACAGGAACAATATAATGTTCAAGAATCGTATATTTTATTTATTTTTTTGATAACAGTTATTTGCTCGTAATGTAAAAAATCGAAAGCGTTGTTTTTTTTCGAAACTAATGGTGCTAATCGTAAGGATTCCTCGAGTTTATCTGAATAGATTAATTGTCGAAATCGATGGATAGCAGCTTATAGTGTTTGTGAATACAAGAAATTTGAACTTTCCTATTCGTAGCATTTTTTTTTCATATAAACAGAGGCGTGACTCAGCAATCGCAGAGTGGTTGAATCCCATCGTCATCCGTTACATAAGTTACACTCCTGTATATAAAAACCATCATTATAGTGCAAATTATTGATGATTCTCTTGTATCCATCGTTAAAAATGAAAATTTATGCATTTGCATTCAGATAATATATATGTTCAATTCACTGTATTTTTTTTTATTGCCTGGCGATTCGTATGAAAACGAAAAAAAAAACTAATACAAACATATGTATATTTAAAACAATATCAATAAGATGAATATTGCATATTAAGAAGTTAATTCTTTAAAGCATTGATCACAAACTCGTTGGGGTTTTTTTGATGATGCTGCAACAATAGCTGTTTTTGATGAACATATATCACAAAATATATTTCCACAATTTCGACAATGATGTTTACGTTGTGTAAGAGTAAATATTTGATTACATTTCATACAATCATGTACATCATTATCATTTAACCATCGACGTTGACTTTGTTTATTTGAATGAATCTAATTTATTTTAAAAAAATATATAATTTAATAAAAAAAAAAAAATATTTATATTATTTTAGTTTTACTTGAAGACTTTGATATTCACGTGCTATTTCTTGTAAAGCAGATTCTAAATCTGAATTCTTTTTTGCTAATTGTCCATTTTCTAATAGAAGTTTTTCATTTCTACTCTCACTAGTTAATGATCGTTCAAATAAAATACGATTTTCATCTTGACTTACAGTTAAACGTGCTTGAAGATCTGATTTGAATGAAACAAAAAAAAAAAAAAAGAAAAATTATTAAAGATATTGATGGAATGAACAAACCTGTTTTTTCAGTTTTAATTTGTTCAAAATTAACTAATTTCTCATGAGCTATTTTAATTTCAACTCTTACAGTAGCTAAATTTTCTGTTAATGCTGCTAATTGCATTTCATATTTTTTAGTTCGAGACTCGAGATCTGATTGTGCATCACTTAATTCATGTTCCAGTGAAGTCTGAATAATAATAATAATTAGAAGAAGAAAAACATAAATTTGAAAACAATTTTAAATTTATTTACAATTTGTTGTTCAAATTTTTCCCGTTGAAGATCTGTTGTTTGATTTGCGTTAGTTAATGATTCTGATGCCTGAAATAGAGAATTATTTCTAACATAATAAGTTACTTTAATTATAAAAAAAAAAACAAAAGATCTTAGATTTTTCGAAAATAATAATATGCTCGAAGTCAAGAGAATAGATCAAAAAATATTTTTTTTTTAAACTGAAGATCAGAATAGTATATGTAAATTAATCCTGAAAACAATCAGAATTCAGAAAAATGAACTTTTGTTCTCAAGTTATTCCTATTGAAAAGTTTTTATTGAGTAAAATTTGACATAAACGTAAACTTATTATGATGAAATTTATCTTTTTTAATACCTGTAATAAATTATTATTAAGTTCATTTAATTGTATTTGGAATTTTTGTTTTTGTTCATCATATTCTTTAATTAATTGATCATGTTCGTTTTTTATTGTATTCAATTGTTTTTCTATATGTTGTTGTTCTTCAGTTTGTTTTTCTAGTTTAGTCTATTTCAGGAAAAAAACTAAATTTTACTACAGACAAAAAAGAAAATCTAAGAAGTCTTACTTTATTATCGGTAATAACTGTATGCATGACAGTTAAATAATTAGTGAATTCGTGATGAATTTCTTCTAATGTCTGCGTACGAATTGTTTGAGATTCTTGTTCAGCCTAACAAAGAACAATCATTTGTATTGAGGAAAATACGTTCGTATTTTGTTGAATAAAGCCTTGCGGTGTGAAACTTTTCCACTGTGAACATTATTTTTTGCCTAACATATTAGTCCATTTTAGGCAAAAAGAGGTATGCCCACTTCTCATTCGACATTGATTCTTTACACAAGGTTTCTGTTTCTGAAAATGTTCTTTCTCCTACTATACGAGAAAACTTCAGGATAAGTTCTAAGATACGAAGAGCATCTATGATGAAATTTTCAATCAGATTGAACTGCAAACAACTTCCTCATAAAAACCGGTTTTCTAGAGACTTTAGAAGCAACTGTTTTCGATTTATGAGATGAGTATTTTTTTTCTCTCAACATGATCTTACACTGAAAAAAATAGTCTAATCAATTCTAAGATGAAGAAAATGAGTATGTTTATACTGGATTTAAACAATTCGATTTGTTCAGAAGGATAGAATTAAAAAACAATCACGTCCTCTGAAATACATCACATTTACCTGTTCAATAATAGCTAATAGATTCATTTGACTAGTAAGAACATTTTCTTGAATATATTCTTGAGTTTTATGCGCATGATCAATACTACGACGAATGCCGGCAGTTAAACGATTTATAGATTCGTTCTATTAATCAACAGAAATTAATAAATAAGATCGAAAAATAATATTTTTTTTTTCTTTATTACTTTTTCATCTAATTCTGTATTCAATTGAGAAATTCTTGATTGTAATTCGTCTATAGTTTGTCGGTTATTTTCTGATTGTTTTTCTTGATCATCTTTTTCTTTTTGTATGTTATCTAATTGTAATTTAGTTTCATTTAATAATTCCTCTTGTTGATTAATCGTTTGTTTTAATTCATTATTTTCTATTTCTAATCTATTGATTTGTTCACTTAATTGTAATTTATTTTCTTTAATATCGTTTTCTAATCGTTCTATTTCTTGTTTCTAAAAAAAAACACAAAGCGTTAAGAAAAAAAAAAAAACGAAAAGAAAAATTTTTTTAAATTTATATACTTGATTATCATGAGCTTCTCGAAGATCATTTTCTAATTTAGTATTACTACTAATATATTGTTCACGTGTAGAAGATAATTCTTGATTTAATTCGTTTATTTGTTGTTCCTAAAGAAAAATAATAATAAATACATGCAATTCTAATGAAACCGTCTATACTTCTACTATTTATTTACGAAATTCGATTTGAAAATGAATAGAAAAATAGTACAGAAACAAGTGAATAATTTTGTTTCATTTCAAAATAATTTTTAAATGCAGGATAATATACTTTCAAAGTAGGATTTTATAATTCAACAAACGATCAGCGTGTACTAATTTGATTTCGTCTTCTTTTTTTTTTTTCATTTCGTCTTAAGATGTCATAGATTCAGTACGCTGAACAAACATAAAAGTTTTAATCCCTTAAAAGACAAGTCACGTATATATAAATACTTGATGATTTCGAATGAATTCATAACTGACTTGTAAGTATCACATGACGCGAAAACTATTCTCATGTCATTTATTTCAAAACCGTACCACCACTTCTATTGTACTTAACAAATCAGCAAAAACTGACCAACAATTCAATTCTCTATGGAAATGACCGAGACAATTAGTCATCTTCAGCAACTCAATACTGTAGTAAATTCTATTAGATTTATCAAATTACTAATTTCCAACATTAAATTCTTCAACATTGATGAAAACAAATATTCGAACGCACTTTGGGTGAATGATTATACCAATGAGATTTTTGTCTCAAATGCAATCCAGTTCTGAACAGATAAGTATTTGTAAAAGGCGCGAACATCCATATCTTTCACCAGTGAATAGACTGACTCGACTTAGGTCCATACTCAAAATATTAGGTTTTTACATGTTAACTTGAGAAAAATATAAGAGATGTATTTTCTCACTTTTAAGCCTTATAATTGAATTTTTTATATAGCTCATGTGAACGTGTTCAATCGATATCTATTATCAATTACAGTATTTGATAGTATAGAATGTCATATATGCTGACATCAGAACTATATTGTTTTCTTCTTTGGCTACTGACGCGTTTCTTTTCGTTCTGTCTTTCGATGTTTTGGTCTACTGTAGTGATACCTATTGCTAGCATATATGACATTCTATACTGTCAAATACTGTAATTGATAATAGAAATCGATTGGACACGTTCACACAAGCTATATGCAAAATTCAATTATAAGACTTAAAATTGAGAAAATACATATAAAACTCTAATATTTAACTGAACAAAAATAAACTCTATTATGAAAACGAGTATATCATATAATCAACTTTAGCAACCGACATAATCTATTTAAGTACGTTTTATTTGCGAAGTTCTATGAATAAGTTTTGCTACTAGTAGTGAAATTTGTCCGAAGTCTCTATATGTTTATTTTTTGTAATGTAGAAATTTTTGTTTTCATACTTTATCTTTATTAAGATCATCTAATTGTTGTTTTAGTGAATTAATTTCATTATTAAATTGTATCTGTTCATCTTGTAATTGATTCTAATAAATAAGAGATAATTTAAATAAAAAAAACTCTATGGAAAATTTCAATATCTACTTTGTCATGATTTATTTGTGTTAATTGTTTTGAAATATTGTCAAATTCTTCTTGAATATTTTCTTTTTCTTCATTTATTTGTTTGGTTTGTTTTCGAAGTTCTTTTATTTGCTGTTGATTTTCATTCTTGAAAATAAAAATAAGAAAAATTCAAAAAGAAAAACAAAAAATTTTTCTCACTTTTTCTTCCATTAATTGTTGAACAAGATTTCGTCGTTCTTCATCTTGATCATTATCCATTTTAGTTAATAGTAATTGGTTTTTTTCTTGTTGCAATTCATCTAAAGCTTTTTCTAATGTATGAATTTCATTGGTCAATGTTTCAATTTGACTGCGGTAGGAATTTGTTTGCTTTTGTTCACTTTGTAAATCATTATTTAACTGTTCGTTTGATTGATTCTGAAAAACATAGGCATAACAAAAAAAATGTTTCTTTTTTAGAAATCTAAAAAAATAAATGTACTGACTTGATGTTCAAGATCCATATGTAACTGAGCATTCGTTTCTTTTAGTTGATCTATTTCTGTTTGCTTCTATTGTAATGAAAGAAAAAAAAAACTGTCAAGTATTTTTTTATGATTTTCTTCCTTCTTAGAATGTTTGTTTAAGAAAGAAAAAAAAAAAAAAGAGAGAAAATTTCTCGAACTAGAAAGAGCAAATAAATGATTTATTAAGGATACTTTTCTCTTAAATTCATCATCAATTCATTTGTCATAAGCTTGAATAGATATCATAAAAAATCAATATATCAATTAAATTTTTATGATATGAAAAATGAAAAGAAGAAGAAACTTGATTTCATAGTTCTAAACACGTTTTATCACCAGACGAGTCATGAAGTGTGTTATTTTCTCTTAATTCAAATATAGCTTCTTTTTCATGCGAGATTCTCTACCTCTCGTGATAGCTTAAGTCTAATAAAACTGAAACAAACAATACTTTTGCATATTAATTACAAAATAAATAAGAATTATGCTAACAAGCTCTCGGTTTTCATCGAAACATACAGTAAAGAGAACAATAAGGCATGGTTGCAGTGACGAATATATATATATATATGTTTCAACTTTAATGGTTGTAGAGTTCGCGCGTGTTCTCAATTGAAAAATTTAGTTTGTCTTACGAGAGAACTCCATCAACTGATTAAAAGCTTTTGAGCTCATAGAATAGAGGAATCTCAAAATCATTTTCCTCAATGGGTCTATTTGGTTGAGATACGGACATTCCAAGTTTAGGCACCAGAAGCGTAGATAAACTGCTTCTTGCGCGTGAATGGCAATATTGTAATATTTCCAAAGAAAGACTTCTTTTTGAAATATTTATAGGTACAACTTCGAGTTGTAATAAAAATTATGTTGTCGTGTTTATCTGATGAGCTAACTTCTATAGAAAAGAAGCATTAAGTATTAATACTTCAATACAATAGAATTGTTTCAAGTATACGCTGCATAGGCTATCATATACATTTCTCGATTATTTGTATATGTTGTCTTGTTAGCATGCCTTCTCATTCATGCTTTATCTTTTATTTTCATCTGACTGAAATGGTTTTTTTTTGGTTTCATTCGGAGGCACAACTCACGTCAGAACGAATACTACGGACAGAATAACGAGAATCTTTTTATAGAATCAACTGAAGAAGTCCAAGGAGATAAATCCTTTTAGGATTCCTCGAGTCCTACCAAGTCTTACTTATGGCTAGAATTTGAGTCCAAAAGATGCTTTTTGAGTAATAGTTTTATTGATGTTTATTTATCTTTGAATTTTACGTGGTCGATAGATTATATGTAAAGGTTCGTTAAATATTTCCTATGGTAGAATAATAGCTGTCTTCTCTTGGAATGTAATATTCTAAAAATTTAAATGTTGCTTCGCTTGTTCAGAAAAATACTGCTGAAAAATCATTTTCTGGCCTAGGTGCAGAAGAAATCATTGTTGCATACATTACAGTAATAATAAGTGAAAATGAATATTCTGTCTAAGAAAAAGGAGGTACACACTATATTCTCATAATGCAAACGAAAATTAGAATTTATTTTGAAAAAGAAAATTTTGATTTTTTTTTATGTGAATTCGAGAGGCCATCATGTAAAACCACCAAACTCAAGTTTTTAGCTTATTTAGCCTAGAGCGAAATTTGAGCATTATCTACTTACAAACGGGGAAATAGTGTGAGTTCATCATGATAGATTTTTGATAGGATAGCTACTGTCATCTTTTTAAATTACAAGAAAATGTCACACTGAGTGTTATATATGTTATGTAGCTTCTGGTTCTCGACAAAATGGTGAAAAAAAAAATATTTAAAAAACAAGTTCACTCTCAAGGGCATATGAGGCTTACACTATCAATAGACAGATAAATAGTTTCAAGAAACAACAACCTCAGGTGTTTCAAAGAACAGAAACACTTTTTGTTTTTTCGAAATTGAATAATAATCATCCATTTAATGGAGACTTCGATTGAGACTTTCAGGATATTGCAAGAATCACTAGACCTACCTATAAACAAAATTTTAGATTGAAAAATTCAGTAAAATGGTCATAAATCGACTACAAAGTCCCATGAAGACGAATCCTTTCAGGCTTGTTTCTAGTCTCATCAAGAACTCTTAATGGACTCAACATGAGCTCCAACGGTCGGTTATATTCAGGATATTCTTTTGAACAAAACTAACACTCACTTGATTTAAACAATTGTGCATAGATTTCAAAGTTGCACTCATTTTTTCCTTTTGTTCACGTGTCAAATGAATAACTTGTTTTAATTGAGTAATATCACTTTGAATTTGAGATGTATGATTATTTATCATTTCATCATAATTAACTATATTCTATAAAAGAGTATTTAAATAATAATTACAGTAGAAAAATCGAAATTCACTTGATCAAATATATTTTCGAATTGATCAAATCGTTTTGTATATTCATAACTAAAAAATAACAAAATTCATTTTAAATATTTTCTTAAAAGAAAATATCTAATTACATACATTTCTAAAAGAATACAACGTAATTGTTCAATTTGTTGTTCTTTTTCTAAAGACATTTCATTCATCCTTTGTTGAACACTAATCAATTCACGTTTTAATACATCAACATCATCATTTGTCGGTCTAAGAAAATATTCAATAATATAAATAAATTTGTCAATATAAATAATAATAATTAAAAAAAGATCCAAGCAAACATGCAAGTATAATTATTTTATATTAGTCTTCAACATTGAAGGGATTTAAATAATACTTACAAACTGAGTATTTTTTAACAAAAAAAAGTTTCTTTTATAGAAATAAACCGTTAAAAAAACTCACTTACTTTGGTATAAGATCATTATATAGAGTATTGACTTGATTTTGTTTTACTTTTAATTCACCCTTCAAAATAAGAAACAAAATAACAAAAAATGTTTTGTATTTAAGTCTAACTTGTGTTTGAAGAAGTTCATCAGAAAACATAGCTAATTGTGCATCACAAACATCTTTTGTTGCTTTTAAATTTCCAATTTCTTGTGACTAAAACAAATCATATTTTCTATATAAATCTTTTTTTTATATAAAAATCTTTCACTTGTTCAATAACTTTTAATTGTGTACTACGTAATTGTTTATGGAATAAATCAAGTTCTTCTTCAAGATCACTAACACGTTGTCGTTGTTGCATTAAATCGCTACTCACTAAAAGAAAAAGAAAAAGAAAAGAAAATTAATATTCAAAAGTAATATAATTAAAAACTATTTACATTTCATACGATTTTCTTCAGATACGAAAAATTGTTGTTTCCAAATAGCAGCTTCTTGAAGAGGATCCTAAAATTGATTTCCAATCGATTATCTATGTCTTTTTTTAAGCTTTTATTTTTACATCAATTTGTGCATGTTTTGATGAATTTTTAATTCCATTTGTATCTTCATAAATTGTCGGAGATTGTTCTTGTGAATGTACTTTTAAATAATGATGTTCAAGTCCATTGGTGTCAGCGAATTTACGATGACAAATTGGACAAAGAAAACCCTTTTGAAATAAATGAATCCAAAGCTTATAAAGATAATAGAAAAAACATACTTCTTCATCAAATGAACAGATCGACCCTGAATCACTTTCATTATTGTGGGAATGATTCGATCCTGTCTATATACGAAAAGAAAAATAATAAAATATAATTTTAAAGAATAAGTAATAAAAAAATAAATTTCATTGCATTTACCTTGAAGGTTTTTAAGCGGTTAAGAAAGCTTGACATGGTAAAAGAAAATAATATACAAAAAAATATTTAGCAAAAAACAAATTTATCGATTATTATTTTCACTTATCATTCATGACAAAATATCACACCTATTTGTCAAACACATAACCACTTCAAAATCAGTAACTATTTGATGGCGCTAGTAATCAATGAGACGAAAAAAATAATTTTCTTATCATTTTTCTATAGAGAAAAACAGCAACAGTTATCTGTTTGTTTCTTTTTTTTATTTTGTGAGATTACTAAACATGCTTACTTTAGTAATAATTCTATTGATCGTTACTATAGTAATTATTTGTCGATGGTATTTATCGCGTGTACATTCATCCTTATATTGGTGTTGGGATAATGGCAATGAAGAAAAACGAATATCTATTGATACAGAAAATATATCTTTTCCAGAAAATTTCTTATGGGGTACAGCATCAGCTTCTTATCAATGTGAAGGACCAGGTGATAAAACACCTGTTGTTTCAAATTGGTCTGAATGGGAACCTGCAGGAATTAAACGTGGTCAACGATGTGGAATAGCTATTGATCATTATCATAAATATAAAGAAGATATTCAATTAATGCGTACACTTGGTTGTAATGCTTATCGATTTTCTTTAGCTTGGGATAAAATTGAACCAATTGAAGGACAATATGATAAAGATATACTTGTTCATTATCATGATGAATTGAAAGAATTACATAGACAATCAATTATACCAATGATTACATTTCATCATTTTGTTCATCCGTTATGGTTTGAACAACGTTCGGCTTTTCTTAATTCATCTAATATAGAAACATTTGTTCGTTTTGTTGTTGATATGTTTCGAGAATTCGAAGATGAATGTCATATGTGGTGTACAATCAATGAACCAGAAGTATATGTTAGTGGTGGTTATTTTACTGGTATATTTCCACCTGGTCATAAATCCCAACCGAATGAAGCTTCTCTTATTCTTCAACATCTTTTACAAGCTCATATTGAAATCTATGATAATATTAAAAAAATTGCTCATCAACCAGAACAACATTCAATTGGTATTGTTAAAGATATATTTCAATTTGATCCATGGAATTCACTTAATCCATTAGATATATATGCAAGTCACATATTAGATCATGCTATGAATGGATGTATATTAGATTTCTTTCGAACAGGTTATCTAAAATGGACAATGCCTGGTTCAATACATCGAACATATGTCAATCTTCGTGCACCTAACACTAATGATTTTATTGGATTAAATTATTATTCACATTTTCTTGTTCGATTTAATTTATTTAAAAAACCATCATTTGAAATTTTACATCGTCGTGATGATAGTGGAAATAGTCTTATGACTGATATGGCATATCCATTGTATCCTGAAGGTTTATATCGTGCTTGTGTTCGTCTTAAAAATGAATTACCTCGTATACCAATTTATATAACAGAAAATGGTATTGCTGATCGATTTGATGATCGACGTCATTTATTTTTAAGACGATATCTTTATGCATTAAGTCGAGCTATTAATGAAGCTCATTGTGATATAAGAGGTTATTTTTATTGGACTTTAATTGATAATTTTGAATGGGCAGAAGTAAGAAACTAATTTTTATTTTTTTTTATTTAATATTATATAAAAATTATTTTATTATTCTAGGGTTATGATATGAAATTTGGTTTATACAATGTTGATTTACAAACGCAAGAACGTACATTACGTGATGGTGCGAAATATTTTCAATATGTTATTCAAAAACATCGAGAAAAATATGAAAAGAAAAATTTATAAATTTTCATATGCTCTTTTCTTTTTTTTCTTCTTTTTATAAGCGGTATCATTCTTCTAATGATCAATCTATAGAAGAATATAATGAAAATTTTTCATTAATATATAATACAAAATAAAAATAAAAAAGGAATACAATAGATATAATATTTATTATCTAAATATGTATTCACATCTACATAAAACAAAAGCACTATTGTGTCATAATTGACTAGCAACAGTTCAATCATTACGATTGAATAAAAAAAGTATTGATTCATTATATGAAATGACAATCAAACGATTTTATTTGATATTATATGTACATAGATTGTAATGATTAAAATATAGTAAATATTTGTTTTCTTTTTTTTTTTGCTGACAAACAAAGTTGATTTAATACTTTATTATCAAGTTCATCATTTAAATACTATTAAAGTTGAATAATTTTCTTTTCAAAATTCTTTTATTATGAGTCAATTGTTAATTATTCATATCTAAATTTGAGCTAGAAATATTATATGACTAGATTAATTATTTATACTTTCTGTTCAGCTCATCAATCATCATCATATTTCCATATGTATGCTTTCCTGTTAATTACTTACGATTTTTTCGTGAAATTCTTTTGTTTAAGACAAGAATCAATTAAGATAGCCGATTTAATGTATAACTATGCTCTAATAGTCTTTGTACACACATCACTGTTACATATGCCTCGCCAATAAGATAAAAGAATGAAAAAAAAAAAGTACATAGGATAGAAAAAGTCAGAAGCAAGAAATCAAAGTAGAATATTCAGAAAAGAAAATACATTACAAAAGGAAAAGAAAGGGTTAAACATCAAAACGGGCAGGTAAAAATTGCTCATTTCGTTCATGTTGATGACGACGTCGATGGCGATGTTGTTTAAAGCATACTGTACAAAAACAGCTCGATCCTTGTCGACGATTATTAAGAACAAAATAACGACATGGTGGACAATCGAACATACGTTCTAATAACATGTTACAACATGTATCACAATCATTATTATTGCCTTCTGATGGTATTCTACTGCATGTTGATGACGTAGCATATGTATCACATGACAAAAGAACTGGTTTTCCAATGACAGTGACAAAATGTAGAGCAATTAGAGTAACAATGAATGAAAAGTACCACAAATTTGTCATTCAATTTGTTCAGAGCTATAGATAAAATATATAAATTTAAAAAATTCATAGAAATATTCGATGTATAAAAAGAAGAAACAAGTTCTATTGAATTATCTTTAAAAAATGTTACCTTTTAAATCCATTTTTTCCATAGGTTTTTGTTCTATAACTGTCCCCATTAGGACGGTACTGTCGGTTAAACCTAAACCGACTACATGGTACCACTGTTCGCTTATTCTCTGGTTTTTTTTCGTAATGATGATTGAATAGCAGAATTGTACTCGTGATGCAAAGCAATTCAAGTTACATTCTTTCTCTCATTTTTTTTCTCTATGTATTGCGTGATGGTATAGAGAAGAATATGTTGCGTATGTGCTGCAAAAGAAAAGAAAAAAAAAGGTCCTTCCGTCGTAATCTTTGTGTTCGTTCGCTCTTTTTTTTTACTGCTTTCTTCTGTTCAATCTTACGTAATATTATCTATCATATGAGTCGAGCGTGTGCAAGAAGAGAGAAAGAAAAAAAAAAGAATATTACATAATTTATCGAAAGAGAGTAAGCTTGGTTTATTACGAGAGATGCCCTTTTTGGTTAGTAAGTTTCATCACTATACATGTACCAATATAGAAAGAAGCGAGTTGACCTGATAGTGCTGTAACATATACATATATATATATAGATGTGTGTAAAGCGAGGAGAAGAATAGAACAAAATGTGAAACACGACAGTGCGAGGGTCAAATGAACTCACTATAAAGTGATAATGAACGTGTAGAATTTTATATATACCTGAAGAAAGACGAAAGAAATCGATTGTTGATTATGGTATACAATGAAGAGTAGATGGAGAAATAACAAAATATAAAGATTGTTGTTGATGTATATCCATAAATAGGAGTTTTTATAGTAGGCGATGACACGTGATTAGTATTTCTAGTTGCTTTTTTATCTTGATTGGTAGTATCTTTTAACATTCTTATAACGTTTGTACGTCTGTTGTTTGTATGACAATTTATTTTCTATATCGTAATTAAACATATGTTAACTTCATCAAGTTATATTCTTTTATTATATATGACGTTTTCATCTCATATCAAATATATATGTTATATACATTAAATCAACATGCATAGTTCGTTTTTTTTTTTTTTTTTTTTTTACTAGCACGTCATTTCGAAAAAAAACAGATTCATATCTGGCAAAGATCACAAAAGAAAAGATAGAGAAAAATACTATATATCTGAATTGATATCTGACATAATAAGATGAAAAAAAACAAAAGAAAAAAATATATATCATCTATTATGACAAAGACAAAAAAAAAAAAAAAGAGAAGAAAAACTTTATTGATTAAGAAATAAAGCTTTTAAATGTAATTGTTCAAGATGTGTTAATGATGAATTATTAAATAATTGACGAATTAATTCAATATAATCATTATCAAATGGTAGTATACCTTTTGTTTTATATATATCAGCTGCTTTTTGTAAACGATCACCAAGTGTTATATTTGATATAATTTCTGTTTTTAATGATCTAGAATTATTTTGTTCATGTTCATTATTTTTATTTATTGATGTTAAATAAAGTTTTTGTGGTGAAATTAATTCTTGTTGATCAATTAAAGATTTTTGATGTCTTTTACGTAGAAATTTTGTTGGTGATGATATTTTATCATTTAAATAAAGTTTTTCATAATCAAGACTATCAATTAATGTATCAACATCATATAATTTATCATGTTGATTTGTAATCATTGCTATGGGTACTGAAGATAATTCCATTGTAGATATGTTTTCATTATTTGCTACAAAAAAAAAAAAAAGATAGTAGAAGTTTTTTTTTTTTTTATTAATATAAATCCATACTAATTATTTCTTCGGATGTACTTGCTATTGGCATAAGAGATTCATTCATATTATCTATAGGTGGGGATATAGATGAAGATTTTGTTAGTTGTTCTTCATATAGAGAAAGTGCTTGTTGAATATTAGCTAATTTTGGTGATGGAATTGGATAAATTTCAATTTGAACAGGTGTTAATCGTGCTATATCACCAATTGTATTTATATTATTTAAATGAAAATAGTCAATTGTATTTGTAGGACTAAAAATGAAATATTTGTATAGGAATTTTATTTAGTTTAAAAAAGAAGTTTGTATAAATACCATTGATTATCATATAAAAGATTAATAAAAGTATCAATAGGTTTATCACAATCAATTAAACTTGGAAAAATTGCATCAGTAACTTTTGTTTCCAATGACACAGATGAGTCTTTTTCATTGGAATTAAGAGATGACTAAAAGAAAAAAAAAGAATTAAATATTTTCAACAAAATCATAATGCATATTCTAATGTTAATTATAAATCTTTAGATGACAATGTCTACGTGAAACGATTGATTTATTCAATTTAATGGAATTTTCTAATTATATGATTAATATTCTCATGAATAAAATCTCGTTGAAGACTTCTTAAAGTTCAACTTTAGTTTTTAAGAGAATCATGTTAAACAGCACAATATTCTCAATCAAAATGAGAGTTTGCCACATTTCCGAAGAAAAGTTATTATAAGCATCCCAACAAAATGTTTTTTTTTTTAACAGTGCCATGATAAATTTCGCTTTTCACTATGCCTATAACTTTCTAAGGGAAGATCGTAGTAAATGAGACAACTCTTCATTCTATTCAGAATTTTGTGCCATTTCTTAGTATCATAGAAAAATAATCAAAAATTCGTTAGTCATATATTTTTGATCAGTACTGTATATATAGTAGACGACAAAAGTCTTCCCCCGAGAGGATCTCAGCCATAATAGGTGCTGAAGACCTGAAAATGTGTGTGCATATACTACGTCAAGAATGTAGATCAGAAGCACTATTTCAGCTCGATTCCTTAAGTACAAAGAGAATTATGATGAATGACCAGAGATGGCACCTATTTCGCAATTGAACTTCATAAGT